GTGGTTCTTGGTGGGTATAGACCTTGCTTTTTCCATAAGAAATTCACTGATTGGAACAGGCACATCATTCTTATCAGGGTCCAGGGGACTTTCCTCAATAACTTGCAGCAATCTTGCACTTCCCAATTAAATGAAGACCCCTTAATGCTGGGAAAAGGGCACCTATGGTTTTAAAAGAAATCTGGACCCCATATCAATAACTCCATAGTAAATATATATAATAGACTTGTGCATTGTGGCCACATTTGGGTCAGCTAAATCACTTTGTCTGAAATAGTCAGATAGTCCAATAGTTATCATGTAGTGATTGAGCTCATCTGAATAAAATACAAAAATCAACGTACTCCAAAAATAAATATTATGTATATATTTTCCAGTAAACATCAAGGCGCATTTTGCACCATTTGGTTCATAGATCAAGTAAAAAAAAAGTAACCAATAGAAGGAAAAAAGAGAAGAGGTTAAAATATCTTCTGTAGTTATAAAAGAATAGATTTTTGGTTTTTTGCTCGTTCATTTCTCCTTCTATTCATCACTTTTCACATAAACTCATGGAACTCCGAATCATACGAACATGCTCGTACATTGCGCAAGTCATTTGGTTATATTCCACCTGACACTTGGACAACCCACTGATTGGCCTTGTCAGGTCCTCTGCCTTTGTGCCGCTCGCGGCGGCCTAAATTACCCTTCTCACAGCATGCGGCTTTCCCCGCCGCCGTGCTCTAGACTGACAGTGTTTCTGTCAGTCTGGAGCACCCAGTCACTGCAAGCAGGGCCGTCTGGTCCCTTCCCACAGCATGCGGCTGTCCCCGCCGCCGTGCTCTAGACTGACAGTGTTTCTGACGGTGCACACTCCAGAGCAGCATCCTTATGTGTGCCAGACCCAGTCATGTGACCCGGCACACAGTGATGACCTCAGAGACCAGAAATAAGGGAAGAAATGCCTCCCACGTGTTGTGGGTAACACTAGTTGGAGGTTAGCCAATCAGACACACCCTGTGTATATATAAGCTAACCTCCTCCTTGCCTCAGTGCCCTGTTGTGGTCTTTGTTTAGCCCAATAGCGCATTATACTCTCTCTGATTATTTGGTTACCGAACTTTGGCTTGTCTGTTTTCTCTGCTCCCTGACCTCTGCTTGTCTCTTCGTATTCTGTCTCTCTATTTCCCTTTGACCTTGGCTTACTTTGACTATTGTTTTGCATAGCCCGGCCATTCTAAGGACCGGTATTGCAATTCTGTCTGTTGTGTCCTGTCTGTGTGTTAGGTTCCCTACCAATCGTGACAGGCCCATATTAGGAAAAAATGCAATTTGGACAAAAACTGATCTAATGGGTAATTGTTTAGGTCACTAATTAAAAAAATGTCGAACAGGACACACACATGCTAATAGTGGGTCTAAATCTAGTTAAAATATTATCTAAAACGGGGGCGGGACCTGACTGCAGAACCAAGCGGACGCAGGTTGCAGTTGCTCCTGCGAGCTATTGCAAATTCTATTGAACCTACCCGAACCAGAGCTGATACCGGGCCCAAGCAGGCTGCCATATGACAGTGGACCTGGTGACTTTTCTGCAGATTCCGAAAAGTCCCAGAGTCTGTGGCCAAAGTATGTTGACCTCACACAATGCCTGGAGCTGGGCAGAAGCCCCCTGCTACCCACAACTCTTCTCCACCCTCTAAAACCCACAGATGCCTGCTCCTACTTTGCCCCGCAGAGGAATCGGCTGATACAGGGACCCAAGAAACTTGGTTTGCAGGGATGGCACGGTAGGGCCACACGTGAGCCACCTATGTGGATATTAGCATGTAACCCATATGGGTCTGCCTCTACACCCATTTGATATTACCAGCCGTATTTGGCGGCAACAGCACCTGAGCAGACACCGACAGCCTAACTATAACATTTACTTGCTTATCCTGTAACGTGTCTATTAGTCATGCATACATAGCTTGCACAATGTGACACTTTCCCTTCTATGATTTTAGCGGGTTAACTTGTGCATAGTCTACTAACTACTTACTCAGTCTACCAGCAGAGGCGTAACTAGAAAGCACAGGGCCCGGTGCAAACATTGCCTTGGGGCCCCCCATACATCTACCACCCAACCCATACATGACCAAATTTTAATCACGGAAGCTCCTCTAGTCTAAATAATTTTTGAGTGGCTCTCTGTGTGCTTCAGGTTAGTTATACGGCTGTATCAAGGAAAAAATCTCAGGCATTGTGATAAGTTAAGCAGCTTTAATGGACACTGCATCCCACCCCACCCAGGTCAAAACGCTGCAGTGTCCATTAGAACTGCTTAACTTATCACAGTGAGTGCCTGAGATTGTTTCCTTGATACAGCAGTGTAACTGACCTGAAGCACACAGAGAGCCACTCAAAAATGATTTAGACTAGAGGAGCTTCCGTGATTTAAACTTGGTCACATGTTGCGGAAGCTTATAGGAAAGCATTGGATTTAATGCTTTTCTATGAAGCATTGGATGCACCCTGCACTCCCTGCACATATGCATCAGGTTCCCAATGCTCCATTATGAGGTTAGTATTCCTAACCCTATAGGGTTCCTTTTATTACTAAAGTGTGCTTCAGTGGTAATGGTGTTTAGTGTGTCCTTTTAAATTCTAAATTGTAAAGCGCAACACGTAATGAGGTATTTTTTCAGTAAAGTGGTGGTAGGGGTATCAATTACCTGGAGATCTCTTTCTAAATAACAGAGATTCCTAATGCTTACCTTGGTACATATGGTTTTAGGAGAACCTCTCTTTCTCTCTCTCTCATCAAATTTAACTTCTCATTTTTTAAGTGTATTACATTTAATGAAACCTAATGATTTTTAAAAAATAATGTATATTCATTTTTTTTTTTTTAAAGAAAATGTCATTTAAAAAAAAATGTTTTTGCTGTTACCTGACCAATTGCTGCTCAACCTAACCTGCCTGCTGCTGCAATTGATGTGTGTGCTGTGTGTGAACCTGCAGGAACAGGCAAGTTAGGTTGAGCTAACAGTAGGCTCATTAAGTTTTATTAACCCCTTAAGGACCAAACTTCTGGAATAAAAGGGAATCATGACATGTCAGACATGTCATGTGTCCTTAAGGGGTTAAATTAACTGTAAATGTAACATTTAAAAAGCAAGAAGTGAAAACCTGATGACAGTTGTCCTTTAAGATGACTTGATATTCTTTCAGCCATTCTTGTGCCACTTTTGATGTTATATAATGTATATATTTTTTCTGACTGTCCAGCTTTCATTCCTGAGTGTTTCTATATAATTAATGGTGTGTAAACCTTGAAAATGGAGCAAATAGCATTAGTGGTGATTTTATTAAGGTTAATTTATCTAAGCAGGTATGGAGACCTCTTTGCTGTTAAAAGAATGTCAAATTATATTAGGTAATTGAAAGCTATGCTCCCTTACATGCCCTTCAGTTGCTGTAGCCTATAATGCATTGTGTTCTTTCATGACCAAGTGGCCTCCATACGATTGTCTAAATCTTTAAAATCTTGGCATCTCACGCATCTGACACTTGGTCCTAGCAGACATTTGCCAAAGATAAATATAACTGACTTGTAATGATTCAGAAATGAACACCTCAAGGCCTTTTAAAACATACTTTCTCTACTTGCATGATATGTTGTCTTTTCTGGACAAAAGGCATTGAAAAAGCTCATAAGAGATTACATCTCAAAATTACTTCCTTAAGGGGATACAGCACAGCAGCCAAGCACAGCAAAATATATCTTGTAGACCTATACCTACAGCGAAATCTGTACCATGTTTTAAAAGGCACTCATATGCTTTGCTCAGAAGCTTATCTTTTTCTACTAGTTAACATATTTTTGAAGATTTTTATCTTCTGCTCAGTTTAGCATCTGATACATATTATTTACATTATAGGGTTATTCCAACCCATTGCCACATTTATCTTTTGTATGAGGCTTATGATCTCCATCCTCAGTCTGACATCAGCAGGGGGCTTTGCACGATCCAATTACAGGCTTCTCATAGAAGAAGCATGTGATTGGACCATTTTGCTGGCTCAGAGTGCATGTACATACTCTGAGCCAGTAAAGGGAGACGGGAGGGCATTTCGGAGCGATGAAAAAGAGTAAGGTGCGGAGGGAAGGGAAAGCAATCTTCCTCTTGCAGACAAAATATTTTTAAGTGTGTTGCCAGCATGCAATGAGCACTGATGACAGATATAAAATATGCACAAAATTGATATTGGTAGCCTGGAACAGAGTGTAACTAGTCCCCAGCACACAAGTGCAAATAACTCTGAATGTGCAGTGTTTGAAGCAGAAACTCTGCTCATCCATGCTCCTACCATCATGACCACTTCAAAATCACTGACGTGGTTATGGTGGTTAGAGTAAATTTTAAGTCAATGCAGCATGCAAAATATTTAATATTCGTTGTATTTATTTATCTAAGAATCATCTGATTTTGGCCACCTGCAACTTTTTTTTTAAACTTGTTATGAAACGTGCCACAAAGATTCATAAATGAAATACACTAATGTCAATCACAGGCATGTTAGATAGATGCTGGGAAATATGATATGCACGTGGGCTTGTGACAGCATTGTGTACCAATTTGCACCAGGAGTGTTAAAGTGACATTACATTTTATTTCATTTTTTTTAACGTTTGCTTTTAAGATTGAAAACAAAGTGAAATCTTAAGTTTCCTGATTGGTCTGCAAACTTTAGTTTTTCCCTGTTTATTAAATATATTATTGGGGTGGTATTGAGCTTCCATAGGCGATCCATGCAATTTGCACACTTTATTGTAAGTGTAGATGTTACCATGCAAAGCATAGTATGTAATAGCCATTTTTATATCCATGACTCGCTGAATTATTATTATTTATACTTGCTTCTATATGTACAGTGTATTGAATAACTACACTGAAATTGTGTTAAGTTGTGTCATGACAATTTAAGGTGTTTATGTGTTTTATGTTTATATTTAGAACTGGTGTATAAAGAGAAGATCTCAGTCTATATACCTACAGGTCCTTGCTGACAAACATGCGCCAGAACCATACAGGTAAGCCTTGGAATCTAACAAGTGTGTAAGTCTTAAGGGTTACTCCAACCCTTTTTAATGTTTTTTTTTTTTTTTTATTAAAACTACCCTATTGGGCATTAGTCTTTAAGATCCCCCTCCTATATAAAATATGTTTAGCTTACCCTTATCCAGTGCTGGGTGAAACTGCTGGTGCTGCTTTAAATGCTCCATCCTGACATCATGGTAGCTGACGTGTGGCCTAAGCAAAGTCTTCCCATAGAGACGCTTTTAATTGCTTGACCAATCCTCACCTCCTCTGTGCATTTCCATTCTATAGCTTTATTGTAGGCTTTTTTTTGACCCTATCATCTCTGTCTTCCACAGTCTGCGTTAAAAATTTCCCTGCTTGAAACTAGAACAGACCTCAGCATATCAATCATCCCTGTCATCCTAGGCCAGGGGTAGGCAACCTATGGCAGTAGTGCTTTGCACGGCACTCAAGGCTGCTAGAGCCAAACAGGATCTGGCCTATCAGGAGTCCCAGTAAAACTTCAGATATCTGCTAATACGAAGAGGTGGTGAAGGACAATCCTCAATTTATGCATTGCAGCACGTAGAGAAAGTGATCTCAGATCACTTCCTCCCAGTACTTGTGAATGGGAATCCACATTGTAGTAAAGCAGCCTGCAGCTGCTGTTGCAGCTCCTGTCCTTGACCTGTACCTGGCCAGCCTGGTCCCCACTGGAGCCCAGGGAAGCCACCCACACTGCTAGATATACACAGAAATGCAAAATAACCCTCTCCTCATACAAATAATACAAACAGCCCACAAACAAACATACACACAATCCGCACAAACGTAACCCGCTAACAATGCACAAACATGCACACAACCCCTCACATGCAGCCTCTCACATGCAATACCCCAAACAGCCCCTCACATACGCACACTACCAAACACACAATGTGACATTTCCATTCACACACACAATTCCACAAGCAGCCCTCATACACAGCCCACATTCATAGGTATCATACACGATACCATAACTACTAATGAACATATACAAGATAATAGCTCATATACGCACAAATACAACAATACAAAAGCAATTACAGTAAAAATAACACAAGCAGAAGACGGCAACATACACACCTCAATTTAAAAAAATAGGACCAACACGGGACATCACAATCTTATATCGGCACAGTGCTACTAAAAGGTTGCCTACCCCTGTCCTAGGCTATTCATTAAAAATTTTCTTCCTAGCTATCCCACTTAATCTACTCTAACACTCCTTCCCTTATACTTGGGAACTTTAACATCCCAATCAGGGCCGGCCTTTGGGGTGTGCGAGCTGTCCGGCAGCACAGGGCGCTGTGGCAACAGGGGCGCCGGGCAGCCAGCGCAGCTCGCACATGCTTGAACATTAGGGCTTCTTAATCCTTCCCTTACTCCCTCTGTGGCACTCACGAGGGTGACATGGAGGAGAGCCGTGGGGAGGTAGCGAGGCTGAAGCAGCACACAGATCAACGACATTCCTTGATTCAGTAAACTCCCAGCTCCTGATAAGAGGCATGCAGTTTAAAAGGAGCTGTGAGTGGCTGCAGAGCTAAGGAGGCAGAGCCAGTAAGGGAGCAGGCACTCACTCTCCAATCTGACAGCCCCCTGTGCCTATACATCCAGTAAGCATGTACCTCCAGCCCTACCCCCCCTCCCCCCTCCTGTTCTTGGTTGCCAGTTACTTGCCGGCATTTTACAGCATTGGCCTCTTTCATGGCCTTTGTGCTGCCTATAAACTCCCCTCGGAGGAGTGTAAGCACCTCACAGCCTTCCTTCCCCTGCTGCTGTGTGACACCCTGCAGATCAGCTAATCCTGTCTAGGATCATGGCTGAGGATGGAGCTATTGGCTGCTGCATGTCAGTACTCCATGACCTGATATACCTATTAACTGTCTGTTAGTGCCCCATCTCTGTCAGTGCTGCCAGGCTCCAACCATTACAATCCTGTAGGATCTGCCAAACTAATGTCTCTGTTAACCACACAGTGGAAATATGCCTTTGTAAACTGTTGTATGCCAGTGTCTGTGTGTGTCATAACTCTCAGTGTCTGTGTGACAGTGTTTATGCCAGGGTCTGTGCCAGTGTGTGTTTCAGTGCTTGTGACAGTGAATGCCTGTGGCAGTGAGTTCTTGTGTCAATATGTGTTAGTGAGTATTTGTGCCAGTGTATGTGTGTGAGTGCTTGTGTCAGTGAGTGCCTGTGGCATTGAGTGTGTGTGTGTGTGTAAGTGAGTGCTTGCTCAGTGTGTGTGTGTGGGTTTCTGTGAGTTCTTGTGTCAATGTGTGTTAGTGAATGATTGTGCCAGTGTGTGGCAGTGAGTGCTTGTGGCACCATGAAGATTTTTCGCACAGGGCGTCTACAGACCTAAGGCCAGCCCTGATCCCAATCAACAGCCTCAACTGTCCTGATGCCTTCCGTCTGCTCTCTGTAACCTCTTCCTTTTGCTTCACACAGTGGTCTTCTTCAGCAACTCATACAGCAGGAAACACTCTTGACATCATCTTCACCAATCTCTATAGTATTTCTTTTGTCTGACCACCATCTGCCGACCTTTGACACTGGCATACTCCGTACCCAAATTTCACCACCTTCAACTCATAATCTCCAAAAACCTCCACTGTCTTGACCTCTAGCAATTCTCCACCAAACTCTCCTTTTACCCCTCTCAAATCTTACTTGCCCTAACTCTGCAACCTCACTCTACAACTCCACTCTCTCCTCTCAACTAGACACCATGGCACCTCATACATTTAAACGTAGCAAGTGCTCCCAATTACAACCCTGGCACACCAATCTGACCTGATACGTCTAAAAAATTTTCAGAACTGCTAAACGCTGCTGGAGAAAGTCTCAATTTTATAATAAGGGAAGAGATCTCTAATCTCTCTCCCTCCCTTACCAATACTTCCCCCAACCCCACTCCCTCCGCTGTTCTATGCTCATTCGCACCCGCTACAGCAGAAGATGTTTTTGCTCTTCTCCAGTCCTTCCACCCGACCACCTGTTCAATCGATCCTATTCCCTCATATCTCATCCGCACTCTGTCTCCTTCTCTTGCTCTCCCTCTCATTAAAATTTTCAATATCTCCCTTTCCTCTGGCACATTTCCTTCAACCTTCAAACACGCAGCTGTACCCCGATTCTGAAAAAACAAACAACCTTGACCACAACTTCCCATCCAACTACAGCCCTATCTCGCTACTTCCATTTGCCTCCAAGAACCTTAAGAGAGTTGTGCATGCAAGATTGACAGACTTCCTCGAATCCAAATCTCTGCTTGATCCAATTCAGTTTGGTTTCCGCAATCCTCACTCTGTCGAAACGGCTGTGACCAAAGTATCCAACGATTTAATTGCTGCTAAATCTCGGGGCCACTACTCTATCCTAATTCTCCTTGATCTTTCTGTTGCCTTTGACACGGTTGATGATCAACAGCTTCTTCTCATTCTCCCTAATCTAGGTGTTATGGATACTGCTCTATCCTGTAGCTCCTCCTATTTCTCCCAGCACTCTTCCAGTGTTTCTTTTTATGGCTCTGCCTCTTCTCTCCAACCTCTCTGTTGATGTTCCCCACGGTTCTGTCCTTGGTCTCCGACTGTTCTCTATCTACGCTGCCTCCGTTGGTAAACTCATAAGCTCCTTTGGCTTTCATTATCATTTATATGTTAATGACACGCAAATCTACATGTCCTCTCCTGATCTCGCTCCACCCATCTTTACTCGTGTCTCTGACTGCCTCAATGCGATTTCCAACTAGATGGCTGCTCGCTTCCTTAAACTCAAGCTGTCCAAAACAGAACTTCTTGTCTTTTCCCCCTCGTTTTGCTACTCCCATGTCTGTCTACCTCCAAGTTAACGGTACTACCATCACCACTACCTCGCAGGCTCCCTGCCTAGGTGTTCTCTTTGTTTCGACCTTTCCTTCACCCCTCATGTCCAGTCAGTCACCAAACCCTGCTGCTTCAATCTCAAAAACTAAATAGTGCGCATCCACGCTATTTAACGCTGGACATTGCTATGGTGCTGGTCCATGCCTTTGTTCTCTCTCGCCTTGATTACTGCAATCCCCTTCTCAGTGGTCTTACATGTTCCTAGCTTGCCCTGCTGCAATCTATAATAAATGCAGAAGCAAGGCTCATCTTCCTGTCTGCCTGCACCTCCCAAGCCTCCTCTGTGTAAGTCCCTACATTGGCTTCCAGTTAGATATAGGGCTCAATTTAAGATTCTGGTGCTTGCTTACAAGTCCCTACATAATGCTGCTCCAACCTACCTATCCTCCCTAATACACAAGTATGTCCTATCTAGGCCCCGGCGCTCTGCTGAAGACCTACGTCTATCCTCTGTCTGTACTCCCACCTCTGATGCTCGCCCTAAATACTTCTACAGGGCTTCACCTTTTCTGTGGATCTCCCTTCCCTTCTCCGTTAGACTTTCACCCAGTCTCTATTCCTACAAAAAAAAAAAATCAGGAAAGCGTATCAATTAAACTGTTAACAGGTTTTTATTCCCATGCCCTGTCACCTCTTCTGCAACTGTCACAAATTTCCCACTAAGCCCTCAGTGAATACTTTTCTAGCAACCTACTTTGTTACCCCTACTTTTACCCTTCGTGTCACTATACCCCACTCACTCTAGCAAGCAAGCTCATTGAGCAGGGCCCCCAACCCCTCTGTTCCTGTCCAACTTATCTGGTTATAATTACGTGTCTGTTAGTCCACCCATTGTACAGCTCTATGGAATTTTCTGGCGCTATATAAATAATAAAATAATAATAATAACTTGACCATTTAGCCGGCTGCACATGCTCTGAGCCACCAGGAGGAGAAAATAGGTAGGGCAATGTGTAGGGAGGAGAATTAAAAAAAATAAACTACACGGATAGGATATGCTGGTGGGAGGTGTGCAGATAAAAAGGGAGGGGACACCTCAGACTAAATCTACTGCTTCTCATATTTACCAGTATTCCTCAGATCACAGGTATCAAGATGACTTCAGAGATCTCAGTGCTTTTTAAGCATTAAAAGACAACTTCTCACACATGAAGCTCATCAGCTCAGGATATGCTCTTTTTAATAAGTCTATTTGAAATATGCACTTTAATAAATAATTACAGAAACAGCTCCCTGTGAATCATACAGCCAGGGTTCTAGCGAGGATAACTTTCTGATTCTGGTAAAACCACAGAGCTAACCGAGGTGGCATGTATGCTCTGCTACAGTGACCTGCCAAGTGTCAATGTGTCTGTGAGTGAGTGTACGTCCACAGTGGTCATAGGCATCAAATAATGACTTTATTTTCCTTGTGGTCCAGTAATCGTTGCTGACTGCAAAGACAGTCGAGACAATCACCATTGGGGAGTCATGCACTGTTACACACGGCTCTCAGACTGTGCACATTGATGCATCGACCCTTGCTGGGCTAGGAAGTATATGAATTGAATAGCTGCACATACGCTTACAGCTCTTAAATCAGAGGGTTTGCAATGAGAAAAAAGGGGTGGGACTTGCAAAAGACATAGACAAAAAATCTGTAGGTTTTCCCCCCAATGAAACTGTAGAAATGAATGCATGCATATGTTTATGTTGGACCACACTAGCAGCCGTGACATATATGTTATGATTGTGTAATATGGTACACCATAATTGTGTGCAATATGTCATCATTCATACATTTGGAATTTGGAATTCTTATCTTATTTTGTAATCATTATTGTTCATTTTAATATGCCAACTCATGCAGAGATGTGTGTGCTTTTTGCCATTGTTTGCTATTTTTACATTGATTTTTAACCAGTATTATGTTAACAAATGTAGCTGACCAATGAAGGGTTAATTACCCTATGTACTAATTAGACTGGGAGGTTTATAAATCGAAGAAAGTCGAAGTGATTCTATCCTCTGATGAAGTGATCAGCTGATCACGAAACGCGTAAGGCAGGCATCCTACACAAAGCTTTCAGGAGACAGCCAAATGGAACACATCCCAAGCCGCAGTGGAATGCACACAGCGAGTATCCAGTGTCTAACACCTCGCAGAGATCCATACCTCCCTTGATCCGGCCGGCAGGAGGGAGCTACGAGGATCTTCTGGTCTGTAGGATATCAACCTGGTACCTTATGCCACTACTTTGGACGCTTCTATGAGTGCAAGTTTTATTTATTTATCTTTGAGAGTGTTTATCTTTTTCTTAATACATTTTTCAATAGAGAGCACCCTGTCTATGTATTATATACCACATCGTGCAACATGGACTTGACAAACACTCTGTGGTCAATATTGATACATATCCTGACAGAGATTGTATCATTCCAAGATTAATGTATCTTTTTTTGTTTTACATTATTAGGTACTAGACCGATACTATATTATTTTCAGCTTTACCAGAATTTCTTCCTACTTATACCATATTAGGCAATCAGTCTGGAATTCATTTAGCTGCTACAATTATATCAATTGACGATTTTTATCTTTTTATTTATCTAGTACTTATTTATATTTCATTTATTATTCACTTATACTGTTTAGGGTATATCCATTTGGATCCAAACTTGTGTAACAAGCATTTCGTTTTTCATATTCTCTGTGTAACACTGTTTAGTAGATCTCAGTCAACCCAAGTTTATGTATATTTTTTATATTTTTATAAGCTTATTGTGCAAGTCTATTCCCTCATTCCTATTTTTCCACTTCATTCCTGATCACACTATTGATTTTCTTCAGTAGAAACCTCTATTTATAGTTCTCTATCTATAGCTTAAGGTGGTAGCTATTCTCTTTTCAGTGAGATAGTGGTTATAGTTGTCCAGTTCAGGTTTCGTCACTTAAACTCTAGTGGGACATCATACCAGTCTTTTGGGCGTGTTTTCCCGTCTATAAGTTTGTATCTTTTTTCATAGTCATTATTATAGTTATTGCATTTTAATTATAATATTTTCATGTTTATAAATATATTTAGTTCATTTTAACTTAATTTGATTTATTAACTTTATTTGCTTTAGTTATATGCTCTATTGTATATCCTTTTATAATGTATTTCCCTCTGACCTCTCTGGCCCCAAGATTACCACCAATTGGGGCTCGGGGACGTCTTTGAGGATCTTTTCCCCTATCCTATTACAATTGCTATTTGTTCACTATTGTGAGTACTTTAATTCCCTTACCCTGTTTATTTATTTTTTACTTGTGGGTTACTCAACCCTTTCCTTTAGGTATTATTTTACTTTATTCATTCCCTTAGGCTTGTCTGTATATGTATGATGCAGTCTGATAGGATCTTTCTGTGCCTGTGGGACTACAGCACACATGCAGATTAATTTAGAAGCATCTCCAGGTATCTCTGGAGATGAGGCTTATTTTTTCTGCAGATTTTACTGCTCCTGCTGATATGCAGGCTTTAAGTGACACTTCCATGTCAAAAGCAATGACGAAGGCCCTGGTGTCAGTGATGGGGGTTATGTCTTAATCACTTTCACAGATAGTTGCCCAGGCCATGTTACAGGCACAGAGATCGGCCCAGCCAACCACTCAGATGGCAGTACCTGTACTCACACCTGCTCTGCTCCAGCCTGGCCGCAAGGCCTTGTATAAGGCTAAACACTCTTTCAAAACAATAGAGATGGACAGTACCATACCTGTCACGGATGATGCAATTAATAGATCTATATGGAGGATTCAGTGGATGTTTCTGATCCTGATTATGAAATTATTTATGGAGAGAATGCTAATCCCGCGCGGGATATACTTCCTATTACACCTACCAAGATTGAGGTAGATCATACGGCCTCAGGGGAAACTGATAGGATCTTGGACCCTCAAGTTGAACCCCTATTCGAACCTGACGACCTGTGTCACCCAGTGGTCACCTCAGATCACGTAGCCAAGTATATTGCATCAAGAGTAGGCAAGCCTTTTAAGAAGGCAAAGTGAAATAAAATGCGGGCTGAATGCCCACGCCGAACTGTCCCTGATGACGCATGTGAAACACTATCAGTCGATGCTAAGATCATTGAATTCCTGAGTAAGACAGGATGGAAACCTACCAAAGGCTTAGATCTTTCATTGCAAAACTGTCAGGATAAAATCCTGGACATCTTGGGCCTTGCAGCCAAGATCTTTGAAGCAGTAAAAGATGGTCTAGAATTAGATTGCACCACCGTAAGTGGTTGGATCCAGACAGTGATCTGTTAAGTTGGCCGCAACAGAATGCCGCAAATCGATCTTGCTCAAGATTTAGCCCAAATGTTTAATTATGGCTCTGAACGAGACAGACACACAGGCAAAAGGTTTTCTCTTTGGGGACAACTTTGTAAAAGAATTGGGCTCCTTTGTCCACACATTGACTGCTCTAGATAAAGCGCAATCCAAGATGCGCAAGCTATTTAACCCTAGAGTTTTTGCTGGGGCCCGAAAAGCCAGGAGTTGTCTGTCCGGCTGAATAAACAGTAGTTCTTTTAGACAGAACCAAGGCTCTTATACTGGCCGAGCCAGTTTCTTTGAACAATGCACTATACCAACCCATGTGGTCGACCCTGGGTTGTTAGTGGCCCAAGAGGTGCTGCTTCAGGATGAAGACCTTATGGTAAGTCTTCACAATCTCCATTCTTCCATACTGATAGTGGGGGGCAGGCTCACACATTTTTCCCATGTATGGTCCCTCATTTCATCACATGCTTAGGTTCTTCACACTGTGATAGGGTATGGCATAGAAGTCCTTTCTCTACCTGTTAAATGTTCCCTATCAAGGGAAATAGTATTTTCCCACTAAGACGCAGACCTTGTCTCAGAGTAAATAAAAGAACTGAGGCGCAAACAAGCCATCGTAGAGATTCCGGCCCATACCCTGGGTTACGTGAGCAACCTTTTCTTGGTTCCCAAAAAAGCAAAGGTGTCCGTCCATTGATAGATTTGAAACAGCTCAACGGTTATGAGGCACTTTCAAGATGGAACGAGTGCATTGCTTAACCCGTTAAGTACCAAACATCTGGAATAAAAGGGAATCATGACATGTCACACATGTCATGTGTCCTTAAGGGGTATGGGATCTTCTCCAACCAGCAGATTGTATAACCAAATTGGATCTGCAGGATGCATACCTCCCAGTGCCTGTCGCAGTCCAACATCAAGATCAAGAACTTCCTGCAATTCACATAGCAGGGCAGGAAAGGGAGGTTCTGGGGCCTCCCAGTTGGACTGTCTTCGGCTCCATGGTGCTTCACCAAGCTCATGAAATCTATGGTCGCCCTGCTACAGAGTCGGGGAGTACATCTTATAATATATTTAGACGGCATTTTCATTCTGGCTTAGTCTATTCAATTAATCTGGACCTACCTAGCATGGACTTTGACTCAGTTAGAGAACCCAGGCTTCCTGATCAATTGGGAGAAAACCATTATTGTTCCCACGCAACAAATCAAATCTCTGGGTTATATTGGGCTATTGTAGATTCTACCCTTCAAACTCTACACTTTCCGGTGGCAAAATTAAAAAACACTAGCAACCTCTCAACTCTCTCTCAAACAACTGTCGAGAATGATAGGCCTAGTAGCGGCATTTATGCACGCCATTTTCCAGGTCCTCTTGGCTATCGAGCCCTACAATGATTACAAGCTTCATCTCAAGGGCAGCGCATCATACACAGATATGGTAACTCTGGACTCAGAAGTGAAGGATGAACTCCAGTGGTGGCTTCTTCACATGGAAGCTTGGAATGAACACCCCATATTCTATACAGCTCCAGATTTGATAATCAAATCCAACACAAGTTTGCACAGTTGGGGCGTTAAATGCGGAAAAATATTTCCACCAGGGGCAGATGATCAGATCTGGAATCGACACTCCACATTAATTATTTGGAACTTCTGTCTGGTTCCTTTGCAGTCCACAGTTTCTCCCCAACACAAGCCCAATGCGCTATCCTTCTGAAGATGGACCGTGTGTCAGTTGTCCGCTACATCAATCACCTGAAAGCACAAAATACAAAATTCTGAACTACATGGCTCGCCAGTGGCTGCTCGCTGTCATTTAAAACTGTATATAAATGTATCCTATATAGAAGTGTTAGAGCTACGGTAAGAGTACGTGTAAAAAGTAGCTGTTTAGATCTAAATAGCTACTTTTTCATACTGCAACATTGTTATAGTTTTTACTAAAACATTTGGTTGCATGTACTCTTATCTAATTTCACCGGTGCACATGTCTATCTGATAGATCTCTCCTTTTCCCTGTTGCATGCTTATGGGAGTATGAACTTCGTCCCACTACGTGACGGAATCCTTTAAAACAGGAACTCTTCATCTACTTCCAAAAGTCGCGTCTTCCGGTGTCTACCTCTACCCTAGCCCAGTGGCTCAAATACGTTATGTCTCTAGCAGGTATTGATGCCTATGTGTTTGCGCCTCATTAGGTTCGTGGGGCAATGGCTTCTAAGACTTCCTCGATTGGTTGTCGCTTGGTGGATATTATGAGAGTGGCTGGTCTTCAGAGTCGACATTCCATGATTTCTACTTTAAACCTATTCAGCACTTCACAGGAAAGATAATTTCACAGCTTTAAACTAGCATAATAGGAGCCTCCGTGTCTTTATAAAATTTACCGATTTTACTATTAACATGACGTAATTTCATGATTTTATTAATGACATGGAGGCGGGTATTATCCCTTTCTCCCATCCCTGGAGGTTTCTTCTTCTCTAGGTAAGTTGACTTCACCCTAAGTCTTTGTTGATTACTGGGTTTTATCCTTGTTAATGACCAACAAGAGCTTATGGTTTGACTAAACTGAATTTCATGTTATAAATATCTCATATTCCATATAATGCAATTTTATGCATAAATCTAGTTTTATACTTGGATATTACCATATTCTCCTCTCTCTTCCAATTTGACTTCGAAGTCCAGGTTGAGGCTCGCATACCCTCTTAGTGGAGCTCCCCTTTTCATTTAGATTTTTTGTCCTTGTTCGGGATCGCAAGAAAGAGGAAGTAGTATACTGGACACCACCTATTATGCTATGAAGAGGATGCTGATTGGCTGTTCCTGTTGCTAGGAAGATATACCTCTCATGTTATTTAGTAGGGTTTTTTTATACTGATTTAATGTTATTTTCCTTTGCTGCTGAGGGAAATAAAGAAAGAATGCAGCATAATACTCGCCTCCGTGTCTTTAATAAAATCATGACTTTACATCATGTTAATAGTAAAATCTGTGAATTGTAGTTGACTATTTGAAAAATGCAGACAGTAAAACTGCAACTCTACTGGTTCTTTTATGTGAGAGATTAGTTTTATTATTTGGTTACATTGTTCTCTAATGTCATTGTTTTACACTGTATCAACAATATATTCAAAACCAAATTATTTTTCTTTTCTCAGGGTCATAGGCAGTGTCTCTCAGTTTGAAGAGTTTGGAAGAGTGTTCCACTGTCCCAGAAACTCCCCGATGAACCCATCTCACAAGTGCTTTGTGTGGTGACCCTCTGATTAATAGCAAGTTGCGTCCAGGTTCTCCCCATCTACACCCAAACATCATGGGCAGCAAGAGAGGAAAGACTGAGTATAGACTACACAACAACAGGCTGTACTAATAGGCCATGCAAACTCATACATTCCATTACTGTTCCCTTTTAGTCTGAAAAACCTCACTTACTGGACCATATCCTAAGCAGACAATGGGTTTCTGAGGCTTTTCCACGTACATAGGAATGCACTTTACCCCTTAATCAGAATATAGAACAGGCAGAAGGTCTTAATTTGAGAATCATCCTGTAGACTATTCATAACCTGATTTGAACTGATTATGTGTTAATTTGCATATTGACTCATCCTTTTGGTTATCATCACCAACTGACATCAATGTAATGCTGGTATATAAAGTGATGTGCAGGATACTGTGAAATATTTGAAAGACTCGTAGGATGTGATTAATGGTGTATGGGAGTTAAAGATTATTATCTAGGTTTAGCATCATTGCTATCAACAAAATAACAGCACATATCAATGCAACATTACTTATAATGCTTTGCAGAGCTAAATAACCCTTATGGTCATCTCTGTGTCAGACGTACAGCTGCATGCGTTGTCTGCAGTATTTGTAGGCGAGGTACAGGAAGAGCAGTGTTTACATTGGCATTCCAAATATCAACCTTTCAAATAGTTCAGTAGAAGATGTATTGGGGCATTTGTAATGAGAGCTTGGCTTGCACAGTTTAATGACGCTGGGCTATTTATTGGAGCACATTACTTAAAATATCAGAATCTATACAATATATCTTGATATTTGGGTCTTAATTAAAAATCTAATTCAATTTTTGTAATATATTTTTTACATAAAAATTTCAATAATGCAATTGGTGCCCTTGAGTATAATTCCTAATCACTTTTCAGTATTCTGTAATGTTTTTCAGTATTCTGTAATATTTGACATATTGCCACCTTTCCCTCTGCTCAGATCACTCTTATTAAAGCCCTAGTCTAGCATTTGTGCAGGGCAAGACCAACACCAGACTCTGTCCTTTGCAAGGCTCTATTGACCTGTACGGCCAATAACTTCCTATCCCTTTCTGCTTTACTACAATCCCCATTGCTTGCTGCTTTGCTGCCCTCATCTTCTCAGTGCATTTGATATCCTCATTTAAAATAAATGCAGTACCAGCCTTAACCATTTTCTGGCATCCTTTACTCATCTATGCATAGGGCATATTTCAACTGACCTATGTCTTTTCACTGCATTGCAATCTGCATTTCCCATACTGCATCACTGCCTTCTCCTTTTTCAGTGCCAGTCTGCTCTCACCTGTGTAATGCATCACTCCCTTGCCTGGACTCACTGCATCACTATCCTCATCTTTCTTACATGCTCCATTGCCCACATACTTGCAAAGTCCCCCCTCTCCTCACTGATACCCGTACTTATTCTCAATACTCAGCCACCCCAACCCTCCTGCTGTATATCCCACTCCTCACTTTGCCAGCATAGTACAATCATCAGTGGTAATATTTTATCCATATTGAGATATTATTTATTGTATTTGTTATACTATTTTCACATTCCTATAACTATTATGGCAAGATGTGCTCTCTGTAACTTAATTAGTATGAGAACATGTTATTCTGCACCAAGAATAAGCTGGGTGTTATTGCAATTTGTGAGGAGTTTTGTACAAGTGTAAAACAATCCTGTTTTAAGAGTATTGTTTGCACAACCCCAAATTCGCCCATTAAATGAATGTCATATAGCATTAGCTTACAATGTAAAAAATCTGAGAGAACTAAAGGTATGGCTGGACAGCTGTGGACTACTACTCCTACAATACTCAGTCACTAACTGTATATCGCTGATCGGAATCACATTTCAACATAAAGCATTCATACACTGCAAACAGCCGGAGCTGGAAACCATTCTCAACCAGGATAAGCTTAAACCTGGCAATGACTTTGTGTCTAATGATGCACAGCTATGGCACAACCAATGGGGTGCATGATTGTATTCAGTTGGGTGTTTTTTTGTGTATACATTCTAAATCTGTGAGGGTAAGGCATCTATCCTTACTGTATGTGTGTCTCTCATTCTCAACACTGAATAAAGCTCTTATTTTTTTTAACCTTGTGATTCTGATTGTACTTTAAATCCTTCTTGAGAAAAGTAAAACAAATAACCTGTTTCTAACTGGGGCATCAGCAGAATTTCCAGCTTGAATACGAGTGATTGAATCTTTACGCCTGAGGGTTTCCATAAATCCTTCTAATATAACTAGTTTAATTTATGTTTGTTAGCTAAATTACATACATTGACCCCACTAATGCAAAGCTACTCTAAAAAGCTATGTGTGTTTCATATAACCAAACACTTCTCTCCATACCAGTCTTTTCTTTCCCTAAAAGTTTTGTAGGTAAAATTTTATGGTGACCCATGCAATATCCTACAAATGCGCGTGCTTGTGACCAGATGCATGGAAAGTAGCTAATCACACAAGAACAAGGGACAAATATGCACATAGGCTGAAGATATCCTTACAAGTATAAGTTAACTGAAAGCAAGCGTAGACCTGTGTCTTTCTGTTTACATTTTGTATTAGAATGTAGAAATGTTTCCTGCAATAAAATTATTACTACCAGAGGATTATTCTCCGAGGGCTAATTGTGATGAATTGCAAAATGAGATAAAATGTACCAAAAAATAATGGAGCTACATTGGAGACTTTATGCGACTTGACTATTTTGCCAAACAATTTTAAGTGTGGCGCACACCTCTCTCCTGATACCAAAAACTAAAAGTGGCGGCAAAGCTTCATAACAACTCATATGGTGAGTCTTTATTTTTAGTCAGCATCAGTGTCAGCTGGTTAGGTTTAAAGATTGTGAGGAGCTGCCTCCTAAGACTCGTTAGACTCTACACATTTGATCATGAGATGCCACGCCCTGTTCAAAACCAGCTAAATCTCCAAACATTAATAAAGGAGTACATAAAGTGCACATATATTCAAAACAGACATGTTTTTTTGAGGGGGAATGCGAGGGAGGCGGGGTTTCTAATACACATTTATCAGTGGTCCTTACAATGCCAGTTGTAGTTTGGATTTATTTCTTAAAGCGGCACTGTCATGCTGAACTTACCTTTTCCCAATTGCTTCCTCTTCTCCCCCACTCTCATGATCTGTTTTTCATTTCTTCCTATCTGATCTAATTTACTTTAAAACATAAGACAAAGTAGGGACTATGTATTTTTCCTAGGCTTGCCCAGCTTTAACCCAGGGGAGGAACTAAGTGTGCTCCATTTCCTGTGGTGAAAGCAATTCCCACAATACTCACTTTCCTCCTGTTGCTTCATTCGAACGCCGGCGAAACTACCAAATTTTGTCCTAACAGAATGAGAACAGTTTGTCTATTCGTGTTAGGTCGCAATTCGATTGCACATCAGAATTTCATTTGAATGAATGAAATACCGATCCTATTTGTGCCGCATCTTGCAGCCGCTTAGTAAATAGCTCCCTAATTCCCATGGTATTAGAGCAGGCATTAGGTTGCTAGAATAGGACTAGCCAAAAATAGGACACTTTGGCATAGTGGCAGGCTTATGCATTATTTTCGCTAGATCAGGTGTATATAAAGAATAAATTGTGAGCACTGAAGCTGGTGTTTTGTAAGTGAGTGCACTGTATTCCGTAGTAACCTACAGATGACTGGACAGTTCTAATTCTGTTTAGGAATGTTGTGGATTTTCGCTCTAGCTATGTCTTGTAAAAAGAGGGAAGTATAATTAAAATGTAAGATTAACTGATGGAAGGAGAAAGGCCCCCCTGCTTCAATATACACTCCAATCACCATAATCAGAGGTTACAATGCTAACAAGTTAACATAAATATATTTTTTTTCTTCAAATCTTTATTTTCACCTTCTCCTTTTTCAGGAAAGGAATCATAGTGTGAAATTGTGTAATAACAACCATAATGCAAATATTATACAAAAGGCAGATCAGATATCACCTTTTAACATAAGACGTCATCAATCCTGCTCAGAATAATTTACATTATCCCGTTATGTATACCAAAGCAATAAGAAGAGTGAACCTCAAGTATACCATAAATATTTACAGATTTCAATATTTTGTGCTTTTTTTCCATACTCTGTGCTCCAAACCTTCCCACTGATCTCACATAAGGGAGTCTAGTTTTCTTTCTTCTTTTTTTTTGTTGTCAATATTTGTTTTATTGAGGTATGTATAATAGCATGATACAGTAATGATTTCAAGAAACAATACAAAGTTGTAGCATGTTAAGACAAATTGTTGCAATACCTACTTTTTTATTTCATTTTTTCCACACACTATCAATTTTGCTGCCTAATCTATACTAGACAGGAAAATAAAACAAAATGGATGAGCAAAGCAGAATCATAATGAAGCTTGAAAAGATAACTTGAGTAGATTAGATTGTGGCCTGTCACTACAGTACATCGCTCCTTGTGGGTATCGCAAGATACAGCTCACGAGTCAAAATGTCCACAGTCGGCCTATTCCCATACTGGGCAAAGTGGCATTTTGGAATTCTATAGGGTGATGGTGCAATAGGGGCAATCAAAGGCCTCTTCCCAAACCCAGGCCCTGTGGCAGGTCTGCATCTTCATTCCACAGACTCAGGAGCTCTGTGAGGCTGTGTCTTTCCCTCTTCAGGCACTGCAGAAGGCCCCATTGTTCTGCCGCCACCAGTGACAGGCGATGTGGGCAATGCTTCGCAGGAATTCTCCGGGCGAACTTTGACCTGATTTGGCTGTTAGCCTGGGTAGCAGGTACATGGATCTGTGCTGTGCCCAAGACAGGTGCCTCTTGGTTCCCCTCACCTCAGTCTCATGGGTATGTAGTAGTGGTACTAGGCGCTGCTACAGTTTCTACCAGAAGCTATTAAATATCATGTCTAAGCGTGTTAGTGCATATTCCACATGATTGCCACTTAGGTGTGGGCATTGTGGACCAGGGTGCGCCTGCCATTTTGTTATACCTAGTGTGGTCCAGGCTGGATTCATGGTGGGCGGCAGGAGATAATGTAGATATGTGCATTGGGCCGGTTGGGACCGGGATACCACCTGCCGGTCCATGGGGGGAAAAGGGATCCATACTGGTGAGTGCGGCAGGAGAGTGTTAGTCTCCCCTGCGCCATCCATGCTCGTAGGCCGCGAGATCCGTTTTGCTGGAACCGGTGTGTAAATCCACATATGTGGTACCATCGTGTAGGTCTCCCAGTCCTCTGTCGTTTGGGCATCAAGATGTGTCGGTTCACAGCAGGGCCGGACTGGGGATACAAAGCAGCCCTGAAAAAAAAAATTGTGCCAGCCCCATAAGTCACTGCGCCATATATTGTCGCGTGTAATATGTAAGGCTATGTCTTGCCAGGACAGATGATTGAGTAACACAAGCTCACTCACTAGCAGGCACACGCATGCAAGCAAGCTCACTCACTAGCAGACGCACACACAGCTTAATGTGGTGGTACTGGTGTCTATAGCATGTCCTTACAGGCTTTTCAACGTAAACACTGACTTTTTAGAGAAAAGGCAGTGTTTACATTGCTTCAAAGTGACACTGCTAGTGACAGTCACTCAGACGGTCACTAGAGGTGCTTCCTGTGTTAGTGCACCTACATTCAGGGCCTCCACACTCTGTAGGTGCTGAACGTTCCCCATAGAGATACATTGATTCAATGCATCTCTATGAGGAGATGCTGATTGGAGTGGCGTTTTGCAGCCAATCCTATGGCAAAGCATTGGATTGGCTGAGATCATCAAGCTTGATGATCTCAGCTATAGAGGCAGGGCCAGTCGAGGGAGACCAGCACGCTGCGTGGGGAAAAAAAAAAAGGTGAGCAAAAACACTATTTTTAAACACACATTTACACCATGACAGACACAGAAACACACATATACCATGACAGATACACACCCCATGACAGACACAGACAGACACACACACCCCATGACGGACAGACACACACCCCATGACGGACAGACACACACACACCCCATGACAGACAGACACACACACACACACACACACACCCCATGACGGACAGACAGACACACAACCCATGACGGACAGACAGACACACACCATACAGACAGACACTATGACACAGACAGACAGACACACACAACATACATACAGAGAGACAGACACACACACCATACATATAGACAGACACCATGACACGGACAGACAGACATACACACCATACAGACAGACAGACAGACACCATAACACAGACAGACACATTACTAGTACCTGACACCAGGGGGAGGTCTTCTGGAGGCCGCTGCCCGCTGGGGAGGTCTTCTGGCGGCCGCTGGAGGACTTGTCCTGGCGGCCACTGGGGGAGCTGCGCTGTCTTTGCTCTCCCGCCCTCGCGCGCTGCTGAATGAGACCAGCGCCGGCATATGACGTCATATTCCGGCGCCGGTCTCATTCAGCTGCGCGCTGGGGAGCAGAGCCAGCGCAGCTCCCCCAGCTGCCGCCAGGACAAGTCCTCCAGCGGCCGCCAGAAGACCTCCCCAGCGGCCGACAGCAGACCCAGGTGTCTGCCCGGCCCCAGGAGCCGACGGCCCACCGGGAAATTTCCCGGTATCCCAGTGGGCCAGTCCGGCCCTGGTTCACAGCCTCTGTCAGTGGAAAAATTAACTAAGTTTGCTAGGTAATGCTGGAGCTGCAGAAATACACGTCTGATCGGCTCTGCGGTCAGGCCTGCCCCCAGAAGTCTTGTTTTCCCTATGAGCTGTCGAAGCATTTGTTTGGCATGAACAGCCACTGTCTACTGTTTAAATCAGTCCCTTCACTTGAAGAAGCTGTTCTGTGAGTACATAGCAACATCCTGTCTGTCTCATAATGATGTTCACTACATTGAGTGCATTCACACCATCCAAATACTTAAACAACTCAACTCAGAGAAGCTGCATACATTCAAAAAAGTGCAAGAAATGAAAATGTTAGTATTCAGGACAGAGTTCCTAGCTTCATAACCACTGCAATAAGCTGTAGCGGCTATAGTGATTGGAATGTCTCTTTAATGAACGGGAATTAAAAAGTAATTTGTGGATTTAGTGGTCAGACCTAGGAAGT